TTAATTTCTGGTGGGCTTTAATTAAGGATTGAAGCTCCAAATGCCTCTGGAATGTCACCCAGAGCAGGCAGCACCCCACGATGTGGTATCCCAGCCAGAAGACCTGGGATGAAGTTGTAGTTTGCCCTAAGCCCCTCTCAGAAAAGGCTGCAGAGAGATGAGCGATGGGGATATGCATCAAAAATAAACTCCTGAACAAACGGAAACCTCCAGAGGAGCAAAAGCAAATGGATTTTGCAGCTCTTCTTGTGAGGTTTCCATTCACCAGGGATCTGAAAAGCCTTGGTTTCTGCCTCACAGCCACGCTCCTAAGAGTCTTCTTGGTTTAAATTTATATACTACAGAAAATTATATACTCACATGCTGACACAGTTCATCATTATTTATGGGAGGAGCACCAGGATTTTTTTCCAAGAATATATTTATTACAGGTAAGACACGGCCAATCTATCCAGCAAACAGAGAACAGGTGTTTTGCTTCAATTAACGTTCAATAATTTCATCTCTCCTTATTCAACACCCCGCTACCAACACGGCTGTTTATCCATCAGTTGGATAAACACATTTCCGTGCGCCAGGCGAGTTTAATCTCCACAACACACTTAAATCAGCCCTTTCCTTTCCCAAGCTCTCATAACATTTGCAGAGTCCCTCCGAATCTCTTGTGGACCAGTCTGATTTTTAAAAAATCATTTCTGAAAGGTAATAAAGCCGAGAAATATGACAGTGGGAGCTACCAGCTCGTATTTCACGGCTGGTGACACAGGGTCTTTTCCTTTCAAAACCTCACCAACTCTTAAGGAAGTTTAAAGAAGGGAGTGGGGGAAAAAAAGGAAAAAAAAAAAAAAAAGGCTGTAGAAATGTGGAAAGTTGGAAAACCCAGGAATTATTCCCCCCCACCACCCCGTTTCACACAAACCCTGTTTGGGTGAGATGCACTGGAGCGAGCAGCGATCCTGCCCCGCTCTGCTCACACCCAGGGGATGTCTCTGCCTTCCCCAGTTCCAGGGGTGAAGGACAGTTATTTTGGGTGACCCCCCCCAGAAAGGAGAGCAGAGTTTGCAGGTCAGGGACGAGTACTCACCTGGTGACACTTCCCCGTGGGTGGCTTGGCAAGATGTGAACCCAGAGAGGCTGGAGAGGGGTCCCCAAGCTCTCCTCACCCCTCACCTTGGTGAGCTGCGCTGGAGCCGCTTGTCCAGCACAGGGAGGGTTTGGAGCTGCCTGGGGGGGCTCTCGGTGTCCAGATATAGCTGCAAAAATTAGAATTAAATCTGACCTCCGACATTAAGCTCCAGCTCTCCCTGCCCATCACCCCGACCCTCTCGATTTTTATTTTTTTTTTTTTTTTTAATGAAAATGGACAGTTGCGCCTCATTTCCAGGAGCCCTGGTCCTGGACGTGGGGAAACGTCCCTCCATCAGGCTGCAGGGCAGATGCTGCTGCAAAAGCACCGCTTATAGGGATAAAGGGAAATCTCAGGCTTTGGATGGAGGTTTTTAATCACCTTCATCATCCTCCAGTTCCAGTGAAACACCTCTGGCAGCGATTTCCCACCTCCGTTTTGTGCAGGCACAGGCACTCACAGGGACCCTGGCACGGACAGAGGGAAATGCGAAATGGGTTTTTCCTTCATTCCAGGCAGTTGTTAGCACCCCTCACCGTTATTATTAGCCTGTTAATATCGACTTCCATCTCTCTACACTTCGGGAAGGACTCGCCATGATTTATCATTCCTAGAAATCTCTTTGCCCTTCACTTTAAATATCCTTCGGTGTGCTGGGGTGAGAGGGAGCAGGACGGAGGGGTAATAGATTAAAAGAGGCAAATTGATCCAGACTGTTACAGCTGAAGTCCAGAGGAACACTTTTGCCGTGGTCACAGAGAGCACCTTTCCCTTAACCAACATTTACGGGGCCATCGGGCAATGAACAGACGGATCATCAGAACTTGGTAAAACTGACCCGGTTTCCCTGCTGGAAACGGCTCTAGCCCCGTGTCAGTCACTGGCACTGGTGCGAGGGGAAAAGCCCGAAATGGCCAGGTTTTGGGAAACGCAGGGAAAATGTGAGCGAGGAGGGGGTGGTGTGTGCCACGCACACGCACCGCGGGCACACGAGCGTGAGGGGCGAGGGGGGCACGGGCGCTGCAAACGCGAGGGATTCCTTCCTCGCCCCCTTTCTTTTCCACAGGCAATAAATTCAAGGCTATAAAAATCAAAGAAAGCTAATGTAAGTTTTATTAAACTATTTAACCATCACAAGTTGAAGGCATTCTGTAACAAAGCCGGATCAGTGGCTCACTGTATTTTACTAGCCTTGTAAAGTTAAATGAAGGCTTCTGATTTCAGCAATGCAGGGAACTATTTTAGCTCCAGCGAAGCAACCCCGATAATGCCTCGAAACACGCGAGCATATGTTCATATGCAGAGATATTTTGAATATATTTATATATATATATCTGTAGGCACGAAGTCGGAGGCAGGCTTTGGATGCAGCCAGGGGCTGCAGCTCAGCAGCTCCCTGGACAAAGTTGCAGTGACACCCCCACGCCAGTGGCATTTTGAATTTCATATTTACCCACATTATTTTACCGTGTTAACGATCCATTTTCCCCATCCCAGATGGTTAATTATTTATAACACCCTCCCCACCACTCTTGCTACCTAGAGCCGTCTTTTCCCTTCACCAAACCGCGTCTCTGTGTGTATTTCTGTGTATATATGACTGCAATGAATGTATATGAAATCATGGCCAGGGGGGCGGGGGTGGTTTGTACTTATTCTCTGGTTTTCCCTATCGTACTCTGGAGCCCAAGTGGCAAAGAATTGCTTTTATCCCTATTCCCCCATGGTCGTTATTAAAGGCAAAGCGAGCCCATCAGCATCTTCCTTTAAAAGAAAGGAGAAAAAAACCCACAAAAACCCCGACCCCCTCCCCCCCTTCGGACCCCTCCCCATAATATTCCAGGAGCAAACCTGGGAAGGGATATTTAGGAATATCAACCCCCAGCTTTGGCCGTTTGGTGGCTTTTCGAAACTCCTGACGTTTTGCAACATTGCATAAACATAAAACAATCCATCCTTGATATGGAATGCAAGGGCGGATGACAGCGCAGCGCAGCCCCCTTGGCTTCGATTGATTTACGCCGAGACTGACGCTTTATCAGGCACACGAAAAAAGTTTGACCAATCATTTTGCTGGGAGCTCACAACACAGCAGCCCAACTGTACTTTGTTGGCTGGGAAGTTGGAGAAGGGGGTAGAGTGCAAATCTAGATCTGTCCTATATATTTTTTTCCCTTCACTGAACCGTGCTTTGTATGATGTCTGAGAATGTCCATTTCTGGGACTCTTAGCAATTATTATGTCGACTCTATTATAAGTCATGAGAGCGAAGACTCGCCTTCAGCTAAATTTTCATCTGGGCAATATACGAGTTCCAGGCAAGCTGGGCACAATGAGCATCTAGAATTCCCCTCCTGTAGTTTCCAGCCAAAACCTCCAGTTTTCAGCGCCTCCTGGACTCCTTTGAATCCACATTCTTCTGGTACCCTTCCTGCCGTCTACCATCCATATATTCAACATCAAAGCGTCCCATCTGAGAGCAGGTATCTCCGGAGCTGGCTGGATCCAGTGCCCAGAGCAGAGAACCTCCCCGGGCAGGGATCTGTAAAGGCAGAGCCGCTGCTGGGCCGTCCCGGGGATGTCCATAAACAGGGAACACAGGAGTACAATTTAGAAACTTCTGCTGCAAGGGAAGGGATCGTTTCCAATCAAAGGCCCAGCTTCGAGGACAATAAAGTTTGTGAAGGAAGCGAAGACAAAGACAGGACAGATCAAAGTAAGTTATAAAAGTGAGGAAGTAAACAGTATAAAAGCTGGAGGAGGTGCAATAAAAGGGGACAATGCTGCGTAAAGTTTAAAATCAGGGCTTAAAGAAAAGTCTCAGCTTGCCGATGCCAACCTAAGGGGAGAGGTGGGGAGGGGAGAGGGGTGGCATTGTCTCTGCCGGTAAATAAAAATAAAAATAAAAATGAGCGTCGTCTCTGGGCTTTAACCGAGTCCAGAGCGGACAAAAGCTGGAGCGAGTCCCCTCTTTCCTCCAGAGCGCTGGCTCCGGCAGCAGAGACGCTTTAGTAAGCAGGAGGAGAGGCGCGGGTGCGGGAGCTGGGGAAGGGAAGGGAAGGGACGAGAAGGGAAGGGATGGGAAGGGACGGGAAGGGACGGGAAGGGATGGGAAGGGAAAAGAAGGGAAAGGAAGGGAAAGGAAGGGAAGGGACGGGGGAGCCAGGGAATGTCGGGGAGAAGGGCGAGGGGGTGGCGGTCGGGGGAGAAGGAGGAGAAGGGGGGAAAGAGGAGAAATCGCCGAGGAAAAGTTGACGGTGGGGGGGGAGGGAAGTGAAGAGCAGCGAGAGCAGCGGGGGCTTCACCCTGCCCGGAGCACCCCGGCAGGAGCGGGACCCCCTCGCTCCCTCCTCAGCTCCTCCCGGGCTTCGGTGCTGCTGCCTGACTGTCTATTCCTCCTGTTTGCTTGTGTATTCGTGGGTTTAATTGTTTGTTTGGCAAATGCGACGATTCCCGGGTATGAATATTTCAAAGCCATGCTCCTTCCTAGTTAAAAAAAAAAAAAAAAAAAAAAAAAAGAAGGAATGGAAGGGGGGGCGCTTCCAACTTAATTAGCTTTTATATTAGCTTTTATTTGTAATGTAGCCAGATTGGGGAAACGCTTAAACTTCAAC